AATCTTTAATTAGGTCAACAGCTACCGGCAGAGAGAGGAGCGCGGGGTGTCCTCTGCTCTGCTTTCACCATGTCGGCGAGCTGTGGTCTCTCACTGCCAGATCCCAGCAGCTTTTTATTTTCCCTCTGGATTTTTTCAGGGCCAGCTCTGCCCTGGAGCCCCCGTGCAGCTCCCAGCCAGCGCTGCTGTGATGGAGCTGAACCTGAGCAATCTCTGTGGGGATGCCTGTACTGGTGTGGAGGGTGGTGACACTTTTCTCTTCCCGCTCCAGGACCTCCCTTCATCGTTTCCCCTCCGGAGAACATCACGGTCAACATCTCCCAGGATGCGCTCTTCACCTGCCAGGCCGAGGCGTACCCCGGGAACCTCACCTACCTGTGGTACTGGGAGGAGGAGAACGTCTACTTCAAGAAGTGAGTTTGCAGCTGGCAGGGTGGTGTGTCCTCCTCCTCCTCCTGCTCCCAGATCACGCTGGGGTCACCAGCAGGTTGGACGTTGCCCCTGGGTCTCCTCACGATCTTCCTCCCTTCTTCTCTTGCAGCGACCTGAAGTTGAGGGTGCGGATCCTGATTGACGGGACGCTGATCATTTTCCGTGTCAAGCCAGAGGATGCTGGAAAATACACCTGTATCCCCAGCAACAGCCTGGGCCGCTCGCCATCAGCCTCTGCCTACCTGACGGTGCAATGTAAGTGCGGGCAGCGGGGCCCAGGCCTGAGGGATGGGGCTGGGATTCATCATACTTGGCTCTAAGACAACCCTAGGGGCTCTGTTGACCCAGCGTGATGCTGGGGAACTCCGGTTGATGTGACAGCAGCCTTGGGCTGGGCGCACAGTCATCCTCAGCAAAAGGCTGAGAGCATCCCATGTGTGCTCGTAGGAGATAGACAACCAGAAAGCAAATTGCTTGAACATCCTCGGTAGCACCGCTCAGCTGGGACCAGTGTCCACCTTGGATACAAGTGGTTTTTGACTGGGCAGGCATCCTCCATCTGCCCTCGCTGGTTGCATCGTGTCAGACGGGGACACACCAGATCAGGGCTTTTGGTCTCAATTACCCACTTGGTAATCTTTGGTATTTATTATGGAGGCTTGTTCCCGTGGCGTGGTTTTGCTGCGAGCTCGGTAGCTTCGCGTGTCGTATTTTTCAGGCGGTAACTGATCTAAACAAGGAGAGGAGAAGGGGCTGTACTAGGAGCGCTGCTTCCCACGCTTGTTCTCCCTGGCTCCCCAGGCGGTAATGGGTAGTGTGCCACCGGCGTCCTCTGGCATTCGACAGTAATGGCCTCAATTGCTGCCGCTCACAATTGCAATATTGCTCTACTGTAAAATACTGCGGCGGTTTTATTTTATAATGAAAGGCTCGAGCAAAGTGGTGCTCGCGACTTGGGTTTTGAAGGCTGCCTCAAGAGCTGCTGCTGGTAGAGCCGGTGGTGGAGAACGGGGAGCTCTGGTGAGAAGGGCTGGTAGGTGCCGTCCTCTCCCGATGGGGATGGATGATGGGGCAGGGGGACGGTGTGGACATGCCTAGGCAGAGGCGTGATTCAGAGCTTGGATGTGCCTGGCTGGGTGGCTCTTGGGAAACCGTGCGGCCTCAGGCCATTAAATCTGCCCTGCTGCTAATCCGGGACCGCTCATCAGAGCTGATAGCTGTTAAAAATAGCTCTGATGGCAAGAAAACCAGCGTTTGGACAATCTGCCGTTCAGACGGCCCTGCGAGGCTTCGGCGCTTGGCTTTTTTGTGCTGCAAACCCCTTTGCTCTGGAGCAAACCCTCTCATCTGTGCCGGGGTTGGTGCCTCGGGGGGAGGTTTCCCACCCGCCGGACGGGGACACGGCTCTGGGTCCTTAGTGAGCCTGACTGGCCCCCAGCCAGTGACCTAGTAGTGAAAGGCTCGATCCCATTACCCTCTCCTATGCTGCCAGAGCCCTTGATTACATTTCCTAAGAGGTGGAGCGCTGCAGAGCGGGGGGGTAAAGCCCGCTCCATATGCAGCACTTGGCAATCTAGGTTACGGTGCCATCGCCGGGGGCACGCGGTTCCAGGGAGCGGTTGGGGTTATGTGTTTTGGCAAGGAGGGAGCGGAGCGCCCAAATTTGGTAGCTTTCTCCCTGAGAAAGCAGTAAGGGAGAGGGCAGCCCCGCGTCCTCCTCCATCCCTTCCTCCGAAACGCTTTACCTTTGCCCGCAGCTTCGTGGTTCTGCATCAGCAGCGTGGGGATGCTGCGCCCCCAAAAAATTGCATTCATCCCTTAATGCAGCGTAAGCCCCGTCAGGATTTTCCCATAACCTTGCGCTGCCGGTGTCTAGACGTGATTGTAGAAATACTCGCTCTTCTTATTAAAAGTAACTTTTTTTTTTTTTTAAAGAAAAAAGCTTCTTATTAAAGAAAGTCTCGATTCCCTTCAACCCACTCGCACTTAATTAAAAAGCTCTTAGAAGCACTGTTAATGACACATTCTAGACTGGAGGATTGCGAGACGCCTTGCTGTGTGGGTGGTGCGATGCGGGGGGGGGTTAGGTACGTATTTTAAGCTTTTTGCATCCTGTTGGAAAGGGTGGAGGTGGCTGATGCTCAACGCGACCCAGCCTCAATGAGGCACGAGCTGCGAGTACAGACAGGAGGCGAAGGGCTCGTGGCAGCCCAGTTGCCAATCCCTTCTTCCATCTCCGCTGCCGCAGTTGGTGTGTTTTAAGGCTCAGGAGATGAAGAACTTTTCACTGGTGGTGTGCAAACCCAGGGCTTGCTGGTGGCACTGCACCTTGCATCCTGCAGGCTGAGCGTGATGGAGCAGCTTGGGCTTCAGCAGGTCACAAGTCAGTGTGGATGCTTCTTTAACTTTTAATGAGCCCCAGGTAGAAACACCCTGGGCGTGAGTAAAGCCTCCCAGAAATGCCAGGTATTACAGTGGATTTGTGTGTAGCAAGCCTGGAGAGAACAGCCTGCAGGAGCCGAGGTGATATTTGTGTTTGGAATTCATTATAAACACAAAATAGATCGTCTGAAGGCAGGTGGTGGGGGAGAGACAGGCTCTTTACCCGTGCTAACCTGGTGCTCCTGCTCTCCCAGATCCTGCCCGCGTGGTGAACATGCCCCCCGTCATCTATGTTCCCATCGGGATACACGGATACATCCGTTGCCCGGTTGAGGCAGAGCCCCCGGTCACGCTGGTCAAGTGGAACAAGGACGGACGTCCCCTGCGAATCGAGAAGGTAACGAAGACCCTGGGGAGGGACACGTCAGGGCACGGGGCATTTTGGTCCCTTTTGTCCTCTGCAAACATCTCCAGGTGCCCCATGGGTCCAGCCTGCCCGTCAAGAGAGAAGCAGCCCCGTGGGTGGGATGACGCTGCTTTTCCTTATCAGCTGTGGGCAGAGTTAATTCGGGTTTTTGTGTGGAGCCCAGAGTGCCTGTAGACACGCTGTCTGCAACTCCCAGACCCAATGCCTGCTTCCATCTAAAGTCACCTTCTGATGGCCCTGTTTGTTTTTCTTCCAATGGCTACTGATGGTTAAAAGACTCTTTTAACAAGTCTCTGTCTTCCTATAATTGTGATTTGATAGTCTGAGCAAGGATATTGGCCATTAAATATTTAAACAAAATGCTTAGTATTTTAATTTTTTTTTTTCTTAAATTAACCATCCAAAGTTTTAATTCCTTCTAAACCTGTTGCTGCTGTGGTTACCTTGGTGCCCTCAGCCCCCTGGGTGGAGTTGTCTCCTTGGTGCTACCAGGATGAGTTTTTACTTAGGACGTGATAGATTCTTGTGTTAAACCTTTTGGGGTACTTGCTGAACCAGGCTACGTGAAAAAAAAAAAAACCTGCCGGTCACTGGGTGTGTATAGAGCAGGGCAGCCCTTCCCGTGAGGGCTGTGTTTGGACGGGATCATCTCGCCCGTATTTCCTCTCTCTGCATGGCTCGGATGCCAGGAATTGAATTGGGCATCTCCCTGGGACGTGGCCGTAGGTTTGTGGGGGAAATAATAACCTGTGGCGGGTGTAGGATACGTCAGCTCCCTTTTTCTCGCTGCTGCAGTATGCTGGCTGGAACCTGCTGGAAGACGGGTCGATCCGGATAGAGGAGGCAACCGAAGATGCTCTCGGCACTTACACCTGTGTGCCTTATAACGCCCTGGGTACGATGGGCCAGTCTCCCCCTGCCCGACTGGTACTGAAGGTAACTTTTCTGCTAAAATCCTTGCTCTGAGCCTTGCCTCTCCTAACCTCCAAGCTCCGGAGATGCTCCAGGTGCGCTCTTGCCGCGTGCGGAGCCGGAGGCGTGCTGAGTTCCCAGTGCCGTTCTCGCTGTCGCTGGGGTGGGAGCTGCTGGCTCTTCCTTCCCTGAACAAAAAGTCCTGTGCTTGCGAGCGGTGATTCATGGTGTCTCGCTGAGGTTCACGTGATAACGCTTTGCGTATCAGAGACACACAGCTGCTAAGACGGCTGCGGAGTTGTTGAAGTCAGGTTGATGTCTGATGTGATGTGGGTGGTTTTTTTCCTTTTTACTTCCTTAAAACTCAAACTAGATGGCCTAGTGTAGCAGCTCTTTGGAGAAAACTTCCCTCCAGTGTATAATTTGGTGTACTATAGAGCCTCCTTAGCGAAAGCTCTCTGCTGCAGTTTTCTTTGCAAGCGCCTCACCTTTACCCAAACTGATGATTCATTTGTTTTGGAAAAGGGGCTGGTTTTGGTGGTGGGAGCTGGTGTGGGTTGATGCTCTCTGCCTTTTCCCTTGGCTGCAGGACCCCCCCTATTTCACGGTGCTACCAGGCTGGGAGTACAGACAGGAGGCAGGGAGGGAGCTGTTGATTCCTTGCGCTGCTGCCGGAGACCCCTTTCCCATCATCGCCTGGAGAAAGGTACCCGGCCTGCCAGACAAATCTGCAGTGCCTTTGGCTTTTGGTGAATATTGCAGACAGAGAAGCCACACTCTGTCCCGGTAAGAACAAACTGCAGGTACAGCTGCTTCGCTTTGGGCTGAGCCACTGCCGTCCTGTCCCGCAGGTGGGTGGGGGAAGCCCGGCTTGTGGACACCAAGTACTTTAATCCCGTGAAACGGCAGCATCTACAAAGCTGAGTGCTGCCCCCGACCCAGCCACCCCTTAGCCACCCCTTGTCTTCCTCACGCACGGGACACCCTCCTTGCCTGCCTGCGAGGTGGTCACCAGCAGGACATGGCAGCCCCGGCAGTGCTGTTCGATGGGAGGGGATGTCCCACCAGAGCGTGCCCGGGGCTCTCTTGGTTCTGTTTCCATAAGGGTCAGCCGCTGCTTTGCTGCCCTGTGACTCTGAAGACCCTAGGGAGAAGCGGTTTTAATGGTGCTGGACTGGACTTAATGGGTTCAGGGTGTCCCTTTCTGTAGAGCCACCACCAGCGATGTGGCGGCACAGCCTAGGAGCAGCCAGGGCTTTCCAGTCCTCCTCCAGCCTTCCCTCTGCTTCCCACCTTCAGTGCTTCCGTAGGAATGCCACCGCACAGAGTATCTCCTGGGCTTTTTGTCCCCTGTCACAATCTTCTCTCCAAGCCTCCTGTCCCCTTCTTAGGGCTGCTGAGAGTGAGAAGGGTCCCTGCATGGCCCAGTGGGCACCATCCTGAGTCCTTGCAGAGTGGGATGCCGGATCTCTTTGAGTTTCCTTTTACCAGCACGAGGACAACCACGACTTGCACAGATTGCAAGTGACCTACCTGAAATTTGTTGGCTGTTTGATCTTTTTCTCCATTTTATTTCTCTTTCCTCCTCCTCACCATTCCTGTTCAGGTTTCTTTTCAACCCCTCTTGTGCCTTCTGGCCATCCTCCTCATGTCGTGACTCTGGGCTTGTCCCTCCTGACTCCACTTGGGGCTGGCTTGGGCTGGGATCAGTTTCCCAGTGCCAGAAGCAAGCTCCCTTGCTCCCCATCAGCGCACCAGTGCTGACCAGTCTCTTGAAGAACTCCTGAAGACTTGGGCTTGGCACTGGTAACCCCACTTGCCAGTCTGCTCCTCCACCCGTCCTGCATGGCATCAGGCTGTGGGTCCCGGTGTCGATCGTCAGAGACCCCTGCATGAAGAACAGCTGAAGAGGACTCAGGACATGGGATTTGCACAACTTTGGCTGATGGGCCTAGACATGAGTTGTTCCAAGATCCATTTTTCCGCTCGACTTGAGAGCCTCCGGGCACCTCCACGCACGCCATCCTCCCGTGTCCCTGTGGGGCCCTTGCTGCCCAAACCTCTCATGTGAAAGATCCTGCCTCTCCTCTGCCGCTGGCTGAGGGGCCCTTTGAGCATCTCCTGGGGCAGGTGGTACCTTCCCTGGCCTCGGAGAGTGTTTGATGGGGGCGATCGGTGCACCGTCAGCCTCCACAGCGGTTTTGGCTTTAGGTGCTGTAGGTTGAGCTCTGGCGCAGGGCTCTGTGTCCGTGCCAGTGCCGTGAGGTTTTCCTCTCGTGTGCGAGTGCTGAGCATCAGCCTCCCTGACGCATGCCTCTCGCGTTGCCCCGCCAGGTCCGCTCGAAAACGGCGAAACCCGGGGCCCCGCCTGCCTTGCCGCGACCAGAGAGACCAGATCCTTTGCCGGTGGCTGGCGGTGTCCCCTGGGCCGCGCAGGTAGCTTAGTGACCCCACTGCCGCCTCGCCCTGCCCTGCAACCTGCTTCTGAGTCGTGTTTTTTCTCTCTTTGCCCGAATTCTCCCCCCCAACCCCGCTCCTTGCCCAAGGTAGGGAAGCCCAGCAGGAGCAAGCACAACACGCTGCCCGGTGGCACCCTGCAGATCCGCTCCCTCGGCAAGGACGACCACGGCGAGTGGGAGGGCGTCGC